CTGGCATTCAGAATGTGCTGACTGGAGAAAAGGTCGATCGTATGGAAAGCTTCTTCCTCGGCGAGACGGCCAAATACCTCTTCCTGCTTTTCGACCCCGATCATCCTCTGAACAAGCTCGATGCCCCTTTCGTCTTCAGTACCGAGGGACATCCACTCATTATTCCTAAGAAGCAGTCATCAACTAGGTTGGTAAACAAAGCTGAGTTGAAGGTAAACAACTCAACTTGCCCACCAAAGCCTCCACCGAGACCGTTTACACTCTCGAACACTGCTGCTCGTGGTGACGTGTACCATGCAGGATCTCTTGCGAGGCTTCATCTGATGCCACGACGAGGGCAAGTCGACTCCGTGCTTACAGAATACGCACAAGACCACCCAAGCATCACCATTGCTGATGTCCAATCTCCCTCCAATTGGACCTACTATCCGTGGACGCTGCCGCCAAGCTTGATACCTTACAACATAACAAGCACTATCATGCCTTCGGCGCCGACGTTCGAGTTGTCATTCCCAGAGATGCAGAGCCCAAACAGTCCTAGCCCGCCTTTACAGCGGGTCAAGAATGGTATTCTGATCAAGTCTCTTGGCAACCTTCGATTGTCCATGGTACAGGACGTGCCGGTTTTTGTAGGTGAGGATCTCATAACTGCTTATCGCATACATGGGATAAACAATGTGGCGCTTGGAAAGGATGAAAAAGTCTTCTTGGCCCGGAGTACTGGATATGGGAGTTTGAATCCGGCTGATCCATTCTTCACACGGATACGGGACATGACAATGCTGGATATCATTGTTGATCCAGGTCACACAACCAGCCGCGAAGCGACTGCTGTTGCGAACGCTTCAATCGGCAACGGTATTCAGATCGGGTTACCTGACTTTGATGCCATGACAGAAGGGGCGATGAAGGCAGCATGGAACTCCATCCTTGAACAAATTTCAGACCTGGTGAAGGAGACACAAGGATTATTACTACCTGTTGGACAAGCTCAATCGGATACGTCGGGTGAGAACACGGGCCGTTTGTCAATACCAGCTATTACACCGACCGGTCCTGGAGCCGCACCATTACCCGACTGGCCTGAAGTGTCCGCACTCGGACCTGCAGCTACAAACGGCAATTCACACATAGTCGCAGACCCGATGCGGTGGACCAAGATTTATGCTGCTGGAGCTCTGTGCGACGAGAAACTACCCCTCGGCGTCATCAAATCACATCAAGTCATTGTCATCAAGCGAGGCGGCTGCTCCTTCACCAAGAAGTTATCGAACATCCCTGTGTTCAAGCCCAATAGGCATGCATTCCAACTCGTGATCGTTGTAGACTACGAGAGTGTTGATCAAGCTGTCCCTTTGAACAGTGCGTTCAATGCTGGATCCAACATGGCAGAGTTCATGATGCGGCCACTACTAGATGAGCCGCAGACGACGAGTAGTGGGTTGCCGAGGCAGAATCTGCTTCCGATGGTCATGCTTGGAGGAGGTGAAGGTACGTATGAGATGCTGAGGGATGCAAAGAGCATTGGTATCAAACGGAGGTATAGTGTTAGCTGCCAGGGCGTACCTGTTGCCAATCTAGTGATTGTCTGAAGGACAACCTGTTTCTGTCTCGTTTCATGCATGCAAGGCCTTTCTCTGTCACCTACCTGCAAGTACACTGTACCGTAACTCTTTTTCTAAAAATCATCTGAAGAATGAATCGCGTAAAGAAGTGTCCCCCCGCTCATTCTCTATGTCCAGTGCGCGCTTCGGCGTGAAATGAGGCGAGTAGTCCTCTAAACAAGGCCTATCGGCTAACATCTCGAAAGAGCAATTCTGTGGGTTTGGCCCCACTACCGCATGAGATCTGCAGGGACCTCCTCAAGTACGCCAGGTATCGATTTCTAGCTGCACTGCACCATGATGAGGTACAGTATTGAGTCGTTTTGCATGCATCACTTTCACTAAAACAAATACATCATTGATGCACCGTCCAAGTGAAAGACTCCATATATTAGCTTTTACTGCATGAGTTAATGCATTAGCCAACCGTCGATCTGAAACACAGATCGCTTTTTCTCTGACAAACAGCAAGCAGCCGGTCACACAGTCCAACCTGGCGCGCATACGCCCACTCTATATCTTCCTCACTCTCCTCCTCTTCCTCATCATATCATACCTCACCGTGGCTCCATTCAGATCATTTACGCGCCTTGCGTCCATTGTTAATCAGATCAGACCATTCGGCCCCTCAAGTACCTACTCAAGTAGCCGACCGCTCATGACATCCAGTATGGCACCTCATAAGTTCCGTCAACCGCCTCAACCCCCACCTCTATTCGTAGGGACGCCGGAGTCGGTGCTGAAGGATACGAAGCAGATGCTGGACAAGTCCAAGAAGATCACCGATGAGATAGTCGCACGCATCTCGGAGAAAGATGCCGCATTCAAGACTGTCATGTTGCCTATGGCCCTCGACGAGAATGAACAGACGCTGTCCGCTCATATTCTGGGCTTCTACCAGTCCGTCTCTACGAACGTGGAACTGCGAGATGCGTCGACAGAGGCCGAAAAGATGATGAACGAGTTCGGCATTGAGGCATCCATGCGTGAGGATGTCTACAAACTCGTGGACGCAGTCTTAAAGCGAGAAGAGAGTCTTGATGCTGAGTCCCAGCGCCTGCTGGAGAAAGACCACAAGAGCTATATCAGAAACGGCCTGAATCTGCCTGCGGGTCCAAAGCGGGATAGATTCAAGGAGATTAAGCTAAGACTCAGCCAGCTAAGCATCGAGTTCAACAAGAATCTAAATGAAGAGAAGGGCGGTATTTGGTTCACCAAGAAAGAGCTGGACGGCGTGCCTGACGATGTGGTTGATCTGCTCAAAAAGGAGGACGACAAATATTTCTTGACATTTAAATACCCTGACCTATTCCCTACACTAAAATATGCTACGAATGTTGAGACAAGACAGAAGGTGTTCGTGGCGAATGAGAACAAGGTCAATCAGAATGTGCCACTCTTCCAGGAAGCTATACTGCTACGAGACGAGATGGCGAGGTTGCTTGGTTACCCAACCTACGCTGAGTTTGTGATCGAGGACAAGATGATGAAGAGTGCCAAGAAAGTTGATGATTTTCTTGGCGGGTTAAGGAACAGATTGGCAGATGGTGGTTTGGATGAGATCAAGACGCTGAAAGCCCTTAAGAAGAAGGACGTTGAGTCTCGAGGAGAGAAGTTCGATGACCACTACTTCCTGTGGGACCATCGATTTTACGACCGTATGATGCAGGAACAAGATTACCAGCTCGACCAGAACTTGATCTCGGAGTGGTTCCCGCTACAGTCAACCATCGAGGGCATGCTCAAGATTTTCGAAGAACTGTTCGGACTTGTCTTCATCGAAGTCACCGGCAAAGACCGCGACAGTATATCACCCACCGGCAAAGGTGAGGACATAGTCTGGCACGAAGAAACACAGGTCTTCAGCGTCTGGGATGACGAAGGTGAAGGCGGCGGATTCGTCGGCTATCTCTACCTTGACTTATTTCCCCGACAAGGCAAATATGGCCACGCAGCCAACTTCAATCTTCAACCTGGCTTCATCACCGAGAACGGTACAAGAAGATACCCAGCCACAGCACTAGTTTGCAACTTCTCAAAACCAACAGCTAAGAAACCTTCTCTTCTCAAGCATGATGAAGTTGTAACTCTCTTCCACGAACTCGGTCACGGCATCCACGACCTCGTATCACGAACTACGTACTCCCGTTTCCATGGCACTAGCACGGTTAGAGACTTTGTTGAGGCGCCATCGCAGATGCTAGAGAATTGGTGCTGGACCCCGTCGCAGTTGAAGTCGCTTAGCAAGCACTATTCCACACTGTCGAACGACTACTACACCGCTTGGAAGGAGTCTTCAAAGAGCTCATCCGATAAGCCATCAGAGACGTTGCCGGATGATTTGATCGACAAGCTGTTGAAGACGAAGAACTTGAACGGCGCGTTATTCAATTTGAGACAACTCCACTTCGGTATCTTCGATATGACGATACACGAGCCGAAAGATCACGAGGCCATTGAGAAGCTGGACATCTCGGAGCTGTATAACTCCTTAAGAAAAGACATCTCAAAACTTGAAGGACCAGAAACGCTAGGTGAGGGCGACGGCTGGGGTAACGGACAGGCTACGTTCGGGCATTTGATGGGTGGTTATCAGGTAAGCACTCCTCCCCTTCTCCCTGTTACTTTCACCTTTTCTTGTTTCTTCACTATCCTCTCCTGGCGCACATAATTACATACTAACTAATATTCTACAGGCCGGTTACTACGGCTACCTCTCCTCTCAAGTTTACAGTACAGACATGTTCTACACAGTTTTTAAGAAGGATCCTATGAACCATAAAGAAGGAAGACGGTACAGACATACACTGCTTGAAAAAGGTGGGAGTCAAGACGAGATGAAGAGTCTTGTGGAGTTTTTGGGACGGGAGCCGAAGAGTGATGCGTTCTACGAGGAGTTAGGATTAGGGAAGAAAGAGGTCATTGGAGGTGGGGCAGGCGCGGTGTAGAGAATGGCAACTTCCAGGATGGTCCGCATGCTCACCTCAGAAGGTTGATCTGCGTGCTTCGTAGAGACATGTGAAGGTCCTTGATCCAGCATTCGCAGTGGTGTTGTGTATTACATGTATCGCGGTCATGGGTGGCAAAGTCACGAAAAGTTGAATATAGAGGTGAGTGATACCTTTGTCTAGCGTGCATTTGCATGAACACAGCTGTACGAAATTCTCCAGTTCCTCTGCTCTCCCTTCACCTTTCTTACTTACAAGAATCATACCGCGGTCTCCTCCTAACATCTCTCCCTTGCCATCGCCCCCACCAACCCGCAACCAATGACACAAAGAGAACCCAACCATCGAACAACCTCAAAACCCCCAGACCTAGGAACCACCCCTCTACAAACAAGCAAACAAAAACTTGAAAAGCAAAAAAAGCAAAACTGCAAGGAAAAAAGAAATATGCTCCGACTAGGGCTCGAACCTAGGACCTTAGCGTTCCATATCACGATGTATTTGATATTAGCACTACGCGCTGACCAACTGTGCCACCAGAGCTTCCATGTGTGAATTTCTGGAGGGTGATTTGAGGGATCGTGGTAATATATGACTGTGTTTGATGTGTGGATGTGGATGCCTGCGGGTGGAGCCCCGGGTGAGAAAAAATTTTGTCCATGTGGTTTGGTAATGGGAATTTGAATCTGAGGAAGAAAGAAGGGTCGGTTGGTGATAATGATGCGACGCTAGAAGGGTACAGATGGACGTACTCTAGATTCATGGAATTATAGGACAGTAGAGTTTCGTACTTTTTGTGAGGGAGGGTTGGGGGGGAGAGGAGTTGGGAAATGATTGTCAGGTTGTGTTGCCATCGTGTATGCGAGCGAAGCGTTGTTCGTCCGGAATCTGCTACTACCATTTTGAGTGAGCTGGCCTTTTGAGGCGGGTGTTTAGTACTTTCGGGCCACTTCTTTATTGTTAGACAGAAGAGTTGTGCAGATGTCACTATATCATGTTATTCTACCTTCAAGGGTTACCTATCTCCCTCTGCTCCTACCTATGACTCGCGCATAAGCTTTAGACCCCATCATCCTCCCTTCTGGCTTCCTCGCCGACTTCGTCGTCACTTTCGTCTTCCTCTCCCTGCTCTGCAAACAACTCGAATTCTCCTGTGACTCCTGCACTTCCGCCCACGACGCGCTTCCACATCTTGACTGTCCCGTCGTTTCCGCTGCTGAGAAGGATCTGTCCACTTGGATCCCATTGTACGGACCACGCATCATTGTGCGCGTCTTTGAATGTACTGATCGGAGTGGCGTGGTGGGTGTAGGAGAAGGGGTGGGCGGAGCGGGAAAGTGTTGTTGTTTGCTGGGTTGTGCCTGAAGAACCGTTGGTAGTGGCGGCGCTTGGGGCATGCAGGGCGGATGTAAGGTTTGATTGGTGGGTTTGCGCTGACGGACGAGTTGTGCTGGTCGTCTGCTTGTTTGGCACATTGGGTGATCTACTTGAACCTGCATTTGCGTCTGAAAAGGATTTCGATTGCAACGAGACATCGTATATTGCCACAGTTCCATTTATAGAAGCCACTGCAAGAACGTCGGTACCGCGGATGTTGTTCGGGCTGTACGCGATGTCCCTTAGCAGGGAGCCGGCTGAAGTAGGTGGTTGCATGTTCGGAGCTGGAATTTTGAGAACCTCAAAGAGGTAAAGGTTGTGGGTGGCGCTGCGGCCGACATTTGTTGACGATGGTGATGGTGGAGATTTGTGTGCGTTGATTATGTCGGGGTCGGAGACGGATCTGTACAGTTTTATGTGGTTTAATGCCGCCACGGCAACGGAAAGCTGTGCTCTATCGTCGGAGAAAGACGTGAGGTATGGTAACGGGAAGGGGTTAGGGTCAAATTGCACGCGGAAAGAGGTATGGTCGCTTCGTCCTGGAATTGGATGGCAGACATAGAACTGGTCGATCAGAGACCACTCCTTGAATTCATCCGGATTCGTAGGCTCATACAGCGAAAGTAGGCCCTGCCGGTCTATTACTGTGAGGTAGGTATGTGAGCCAATGGTCTTAACGTCCACACTAACGAATGGTACGAGTTGCTCGCATTTGATAGTCGCAATTTTGCGGAAACGCCGTCCTAACATGGGTGCTTGGGAGGTTTCTTGCGTCCATATTCGCATTTGAAGGTCGTTGCCAATAGTCACGAAATGTGTGCCTGTACTTGGATGGAACCATTTTGCATCACGAATCTCAGCGTCATGGGCAGTGAAGACATCGAGCTGTTTGCGCTGGCCGGTCGAGGCGTCGATTTCGTAGATAACTACTCGGTGGTCGATTGATGCGGTGAGGAGTTTACTACTGTCGTGATTCAGTTGGAGGACAGTTACACGATCGGAGTGGTCTGGTGAAAAGGAGGTTTCATATGCCATGATTCTTCATTCAAAGGGTGGACAATTGTTTATCGTGCTTTCATTCATTTATTGGTTGACGGCACTTATTTCAGTTGCTTGTTTCCTGCTCACCGTCAATTCTACTTCAGTTCGCACCTAGTCCAAGCTTTCATTTCGATCTCGTATGAGGACGTCTCATACACCACGACTCGGCTCCAAGCATTTACCCTATCGAGTGTTCAGAACGATTTTTCTGGATATTCCTATCGATAGTGGTCAACTAATGGAGAGACTAGCAAAAGGACCAGGTGGTGACGGCACTGGTCGGGAGTTTCAAGATGGGAAGAAGGGAGAGATTGTGGATTTGGATGGCTTGCAGTCGTTTGATAGGGTCAGAGACGTGCTCTCTATCTCTAACAAAAGGATCCTAATGCGGGTGGTGAGGTTCGGACGCTAGCTCACATCTGTCGTAGTTCGAGGTCTTCTGTGCTAGAGGATTATTGCTATAACTGGATCAAAGATAATGCGAATACTGAAGCGAACTGAAACATTGCAGCCTCATGCTTCGTGACAAGGCTGTCTGCAGAGGACAGTTGTCGTTTGGTAGGATATCGTTACTATTGTCGACATAACCCATCATGAGCTTGCTAATTGTAAATTTCAAGCCTCAGGTAAGGCAGGTGACATCAGGCAAAGGCACACCATGAAAGACAGAGTTTGACGATATTTAAGTCGCCACAACCTCACCACTCTGACAAGGCTTCAAGAGCCGTCTGGTATTACGCTTCAGAAGTCAATATCATGTCTGCGACATTGAGCAGAACGGAAACATGGAGTCTCTTGATGACGTTCGGATGCTCAATAGCAGTCCTAGCCAACACTTTTCAAGGTGAAGGAGCACCAGTAGTGGCATCAATTGCATTCTCAGCATTGGCATTCTCGCTCACTTATGCTTTCGTGCGATGGTCAGGACCATCCTTTGCCAAAGCTGGCATGAAAGGAAAGGATATTGGGAAGCTGTATCCGAAAGAGCTGTAAGCAGTATCGATAGCAACAGCGCAAAAGAGAACACTAATTTTGTACTAGTCCTGAGGGCATGGGCTCAGTCGCCGCAGCAGTCTTCATCCTGGTTTTAATGGCCTTTATCCCTTTCGCCTTCTACAAAGACATCGTAGCCGCAACCTCAGGCGGTGGTAATCGCGATGTTCCTTCTCCCCCTACATTCAGGGAAAGCGTAGATACAGGCCGCTTCCTACATCGGTTCCCTCATTCCAAACTTTCTTCCTATCAGTCTGCCCTCAACACCCTCCAAGCAACCACAATCTTAGGTCTAGCCGATGACATTCTTGACCTACGCTGGCGCCACAAATTCTTCATCCCGGCTCTGGCTTCTCTTCCACTCCTCATAGTCTACTATGTCGACTTTGGCGTCACGAGCGTTGTGGTCCCAAACTTTCTAATCAGGTACATGCCTCGGGGCGCACGTCTGATCAATCTAGGACCATTCTACTACGCCTACATGGCCGCCCTCTCGATCTTCGCACCGAACAGCATCAACATCTTTGCCGGCATAAACGGCATTGAAGTGGGGCAGTCACTCGTTGTTGCTGCCCTTTTGGTCCTCAACTCCTCGTTGTATCTTGTTCCCTTCCCGGGCAACCCAGTTTTACACAGCGCAAGCACAACACCGCATCCGGCAACCGATTCTCACCTTCTGACATTATACATCCTCCTCCCATTCATCGCAGTCAGTATCGCACTCTACATCCATAACCGCTACCCCGCTCGTGTCTTCGTTGGAGATACATACTGCTATGTCGCCGGCATGACCTTTGCGGTCGTTGCGATTCTCAGCCATTTCAGCAAAACACTACTGCTGCTTCTTATTCCTCAGATCTTCAATTTTGTGTACAGCACACCTCAACTCTTCAAGCTCATTCCCTGTCCGCGACATCGATTACCCAAATTCAATGCACGGACTGGTCTCCGGGAACCAAGCATCACGCCATGGGAAGTCGGTAAACAACCAAAACCATATCTGATCAAGATCTTCTCGATAATGGAACGACTCGGCCTGCTGCAGATCACGAGACTAGTATCTGGAGAAGCAGTCCCTGACGTACCACACGTAAAAAGCAATGGCATGGCCCATGCGAATGGCCATACCAAATCTCCGTCCTCTAGCGTCATCTCTTTATCCAGCCTTGCTGTTCCGGCACGCACTCCCTCACCCAAACCGCTTTCTACTACCACCAAAATTGGCGCCCAGGGCAAGATTGTGGCAACATCAAATCTCACAATCATAAATCTCTACCTTGTGCACCGAGGACCGCTACGAGAGGATGAACTTACAAAGGAGCTGTTGATCATTCAATTAGTCTGCGGTCTGGCAGGCTTGTTGATACGGCATAAGCTTGCGTTGTTCCTGTTTGGAATGGATAACAGACCCATTGGCGGTGTTTGGAGTCTGGTCTGATGATGGATATAATGTGCAATAATATGTATAAGCCATGTACACAATCGTTTGAAATGTCTTCTGCTCCATTGCCTGTGCGACCCCTGTGAGAATATCACGCAGTACCCGCGAGATAATCAAAATCGTGTCACGGTCCGACCATTTCCTTGCTAACTCACAACTCCGAGAAAGTTGATCGAATATACTGTGATCACCACGAACAGATTTCCATTGAGCAGAAACGTCTGGGGTATCCTTGTTGAGGGGTTGGCGCAAACCATGACGTAGAAAACGCGAACAAACGCGTCGCATCTGGAGTTCGCGTTCCTGTATTCACTCTTCGACCGATATTGTGTGTACAACCTGTATGACCATAAGTTTGCCATTTGAACTTTCAGGGCCCATAAAACGACATGGCTACTCCGTCCTTGGACAAGCAAGTTGAGCAACATGAAGCCAATGCAGACAACTTCATCAAAGAGAACGTAATTGAGAACAACGAGAAGGTGATAATAGACAACTCTCAGTCTACCACAGCCTCCCAGTTGCCAACCCAAAACGGCGCTCAAAACAGCAGCAACAGAATCAAATTGACTGTTGAATCTATGCTGTCACCGATGTCCTCTGGCTCATTGACTCCCGTCAGTAAACCAAACCCCTCATCCACAAACCCTCCTCCTGCATCTTCAAACACAATCGAGTCCCACAATTCCAC